TAAAGCAGGTGTATTAGTCAGGATTCAACCAAAGAAACAGAACCGGTAGGAGATATGTTAAGAGATTTGTTGCCAGGCGCAGTGGCTCATGCCTGTAATCCCAGCACTTTGGGAGGCCGAGGCGGGTGGATCACGAGGTCAAGAGATTGAGACCATCCTGGTCAACATGGTGAAACCCCGTCTCTACTAAAAATACAAAAAATTAGCTGGGCATGGTGGCACGTGCCTGTAATCCCAGCTACTCAGGAGGCTGAGGCAGGAGAATTGCCTGAACCCAGGAGGCAGAGGTTGCAGTGAGCCGAGATCGCGCCATTGCACTCCAGCCTGGGTAACAAGATCGAAACTCCATCTCAAAAAAAAAAAAAAAAAAGAGAGAGATTTGTTGCACTAAATTGACGATGGTGGGAGCTGACAGGCAAGTCCAAAATCTATAGGTAGGCCATCAGGACAGGGAGGCTGGAAGGCCAGCATGAGAAAAGAAGCTGCTATCCGCGGGTAGAAGTTCTTCTTCTTCAGAGAAGCCTCTTGGGTTGTGCACTTTCACCAGATTGAATCAGGCCCATCAGTCAATCTCCCTTGTTTTCCCCTCCCCCAGAGGTAATACTGTCCTGGCTTTGATGTTTATACTTCCCTTATATTTCTCAATAAACTTACTATTAATAGATATGTAATTACTGCAAACTAATATCGTTATTGCCTGTTTTTTGTGTTTTGTTTGTCTGTTTGTCTTTGTTTTGTTTTGTTTTGAGATCGAGTTTTGCTCTGTCCCCCAGGCTGGAGTTCGATGGAGTTATCTTGGCTCACTGCAACCTCTGCCTCCTGGGTTCAGGTGATTCTCCTGCCTCAGCCTCCCAAATAGCTGGGATTACAGGCACTTGCCACTATGCCCAGCTAATTTTTGTGTTTTTTTGGTAGAGACAGGGTTTCACTACGTTGACCAGGCTGATCTTTAACTCCTGACCTCAGGTAATCCACCTGCCTCAGCCTCCCACAGTGCTGAGATTACAGACGTGAACCACCGTGCCCGGCCTAATTGCCTGTTCTTAAACTTCATAAAAATGGTATAAAACTGTGTGTGCTTTTTCCAGAACTTGCTTTTTTCACTTAATATTATGTTTGTGAGATTCCTTTTACTTCCTATTCATTCTTTTTCACTTAATGTTACATTTGTATTATACAACGTGTGAAACATTGGACTATGTGTTGAATGAACCATTGCAATGTTTTGATTCATTCTTCTGTTGATAGACACTCAGGTTACTGCCAGTTTTTGCAATTACCAACAATATTCCTCTGAATATTCTTATACACAAACCGTTATGAACACACATGAGCAATTATTTAGAGGGTATATTCCTAGGAGTAAAATTGCTACATGCCTTCCACTTTATTAGATTTTGCCAAACTGATCCATAAAATGGCCTACCAAAATAAAAACAAAAAAGCACACCCACCATAGTTATTACTGGTTCACTCTCTAACAGGAATTATGTTTAAAAGAAATCAACATGCTAAAGATTCCTTTAAATGACATATCAGTTGATTCACACCATCGAGATAGAAAGTCCTGTTGTCCTACATCTTTGCCATCTGTTAGTATTGTCAGGTTTTCTTTTCTTTTTTTTTTTTTAGCTGAGATGGCAGGGGTCTCTCTATGGTTCCAGACTCGTGGGATAAAGCCATCCTCCTGCCTCAGGCACCCAAAGTGCTGGGAATACAGGAATGAGCCACCACGCCTGAACCACATTTTTTTTTCTTTTTCTTTTTTCTTTTTTTTTTTTTTTTTGAGACAGAGTTTCACTCTTGTTGCCAAAGCTGGAGAGCAATGGCGTGATCTCGGCTCACCACAACCTCAGCCTGCCAAGTTCAAGCAATTCTCCTGCGTCAGCCTCCCAAGTAGCTGGGATTACAGGCATGCACCACTATGCCCTGCTAATTTTGTACCTTTTAGCAGAGACAGGGTTTCTCCATGTTGGTAAGGCTGGTCTCAAACTCCTGACCTCAGGTGATCTGCCCACCTCAGCCTCCCAAAGTGCTGGGATTGCAGGCAGGAGCCACCAGGCCCCGCCTACCAGATTTTTCAACTGTTGTAATTCTTTGGTTTTAATTTACTCTTCCCTGACTACCAGTATGGTTGAGCAACTGCCTATTGATCATCCATGTTTTCATATATCTGTTGATCATTTATAGTTTTTTGTCTTTTGTGGCATGCCAATTCATAAATTTTGTCTATTTTTTTTTTTCTTTTTTTTTTAAAGACGGGGTTTCACTATGTTGGTCAGGCTGGTCTTGAATTCCTGACCTCAGGTGATCCGCCCGCCTTGGCCTCCAAAGTGCTTGGATTACAGGCCTGAGCCACTACACCCAGCCAGATTTTGTCTGTTTTTTAAATAATTTTTTGTACTTAGAATATTTTTTAAAATCTTTTCTCTAGTTGTGACATATTTTCATTCTCAATATTATTTATATTTTCATCCTTTTAAACTATAGGTTTAGGCCAGGCCTGATGGCTCAGCACGTTGGGAGGCTGAGGCAGGTGGATCACCTGAGGTCAGGAATTCAAGACCAGCCTGGCCAACATGGTGAAACCCTGTCTCTACTAAAAATACAAAAATTAGCTGGGCATGGTGGTGGATGCTTGTAATCCCAGCTACTTGGGAGGCTGAGACAGGAGAATTGCTTAAACCTGGGAGGCAGAGGTTGCAGTGAGCTGAGATCGTGCCATTGCACTCCTCAGTGAGCTGAGATCGTGCCATTGCACTCCAGCCTGGATGACAAGAGCAAAACTCTGTCTCAAAAAAAAAAAAAAAAAAAAAAAAACCACTACAGGTTCATTAACCTTTTCTAACAAACAGCTCTTGGTGATCTGTCACAGTTTTTAATCTATGTAGTTAATTACATTCTGCTTTTATCTTCTTAATTCCACATTCTGCTTCCATTGGTTTGATTTTTGCCTGGTTTCTTTGTTTCTCATTTCATTTATTTTCTATGTTGCTTTCTAGAAAAATACGTTGAAAGCTACTACTGCTCCTCTAAGTCCCACTCCCACTTTAACCATGTCCCACAGGTTTCTATCTACCATGTTCTTATTTCCATTTATTTCTAAGTACCTGGTAATTTTCATTTAGATTTCCTTTTTAACCCAAGAGATATTTAAAACAGTGATTTTTCATTTCCAAAGGGATACTTTTAGACTTTCATGATTAGTTTTAGCTTTATTGCATTATAACCAAAGAATATGAGCTATAAAATTACAATCCTCAGGACAATTAAAATTAAAATTGTCTTCATGGTCTAATATATGGCCAATATTTTCTATGGATATCTGAAAGGAGTGTGTATCTTCTGACGAGCACTACACACATACACAAACACATTCACACATGTACACATAATGAATTTTGTTAATTGTATTATTAGAAACTGTTTCTTGGTTTTTTTGTTTGTTTGTTTGTTTGTTTTAGAGACAGAGTTTCGCTCTTATTACCCAGGCTGGAGTGCAATAGTGCGATCTCGGCTCACCGCAACCTCCGCCTCCTGGGTTCAGGCAATTCTCCTGCCTCAGCCTCCTGAGTAGCTGGGATTACAGGCACGTGCCACCATGCCCAGCTAATTTTTTGTATTTTTAGTAGAGGCGGAGTTTCACCATGTTGACCAGGATGGTCTCAATCTCTTGACCTCGTGATCCACCCGCCTCGGCCTCCCAAAGTGCTGGGATTACAGGCTTGAGCCACCACCGCACCTGTCTGTTTCTTGATTTTTATTTACATAATCTGTTGATTTCTAGAGAGGCTAAATGTTTCCCAGTGTAATTATGTATATATTTATTTTTGCTTGTATTTCTAAAGCTTTATTTCATACATAGCTTTGAAATAGGTGAGTTCTATTTGTCAACATTTGCACAATATATCTTTTTCAGTACTATATTTTCGACGTTTTTGTGTAGAGTATATATGTGTGTGCGTGTGTGTGGTGTGTTTTATAAAATGTCTAGAGTGGATTTTATTTAACATTGATGTTAAATGAAGTATTTTTCCAGGTACCTCTCTTTCCTGTTAACTTTGAGTCCAATTCAGAAATGCATGTAGGTTAGATAGGGAATTAAATGAAACATCCCCTGCTTTTTCTTCACATGAAGCTGGGTTGAAAAATGTACCTTGGATCCAAGAACATAATCAGCTTTCAAGTACATCACACCACCTCTTGTTCCAATGTCCTCAGGTCTCAGATTTGAAGAAACAAAATAGAAGCCTAAGAAACTGGGTCTGTACAACAAGCACTTAACCATTCAGATGGCGAAATCTCGGCTCACCGCAACCTCTGCCTCCTGGGTTCAGGCAATTCTCCTGCCTCAGCCTCCTGAGTAGCTGGGATTACAGGCACGTGCTACCACATCCAGCTAACTTTTTGTATTTTTAGTAGAGACGGGGTTTCACCATGTTGACCAGGATGGTCTCGATCTCTTGACCTTGTGATCGACCCGACTTGGCCTCCCAAAGTGCTGGGATTACAGGCGTGAGCCACTGCACCCGACCCAGAATTTTTGTAGAAACAGGTTTTGCCATGTTGCCCAGGCTGGTCTTGCATGCCTGGACTCAAGTGCCTGGACTCCTCTGCCTCTGCCTTCCGAAGTACTGAGAGTCACACCTGAAGTTGAGATTACAGGCGTGAGCCACCGCACCCAAGCTTAGTGGAATTTGGGGTAGGAGGAATTTGGGGTGGAGCATAGCTGCAAATATTTAGTTTGTCATCTTTATCCGTTTCCCCCACAATAGTTTTCAACAGTGGTGATTTTAAAAAGAACTCTCAACTTGTGACCAGATATTAATTCCTAATATGGTCTGTAGTCAGTCCTGGGAAAGAGAAAATGTAAAATAACTGTAGGAATATTATGAAATTGGCATATGGAAAGACCTAAGAGAATATCATAGTCTTACCCATAGCAAGTACTTTCTTAATTTCTCGAAGTTGACAAAAGTCCTTTTTCTCCCCAATCCTAGAACTGCTGACCATAGGGATTTCTTCAGCGCAGCGTCCCCAAGGAAGCTACCTCTTGGACACCTTGCGATCTCTCTTCTTTGCTTCCTCCCTGTCTGAGCGAAAATACTTCACTGTTCTGGTACACCTGGCAGATCATGATCCCAACTGGCTTGATCAAATGATCTCCAATATCTCAACCCTCTTTCAACCATATATCCAGGCCAGACAGCTAATAGTAATCAACACTCCTCTTAAAAGCTATCTTCCCTTGAAGAACCTTAAGAAAAACTTTAATGGCACTCTCGCCTATGTATCCTTTCGCTCCAAGCAGAATATGGATTATGCCTTCCTGATGAACTTTGCTACCAACCAATCTGACTATTTCCTGATGATCGAAGATGACGTGAAATGTGCCCCGGGATTTGTCTCCCAGATTGCTACTATACTGTCTGCCTGGGAAAGGAAAGCCTGGGTGACACTGGAGTTCTCTAGGCTGGGCTTCATTGGAAAACTCTTTCATGCTAGGGATCTCCCCCGCTTTGTTCGTTTTCTTCTCCTCTTCTACCAAGAAATGCCCTGTGACCACCTTCTCTCCCATTTCCGTGACCTTCTCATGCAGAAAAAACCAATCCAATTCTTTCCCTCCCTCTTCCAGCACATGGGCAATTACTCCTTCTCTGAAGGCCGGGTGAACAGCCTCACAGACAAGGAGTTTGAGGGAAATGACATTGGCCCTCCTGGCAACCCTGCTGCCACCATTCACACGAATCTGAATGTTACCAATGCCTCTGTTCTCATGAATGCCTATAGTCTGGATAAGAATTTCTTTTATATCAAAAAGGCTAAGCCTGGCAGCCACTTGACTGTGGTTTTGAACATACCTGCTGTAGTATTCCGAGTTCAGGTGCTGACTGGCTCTGAATTGAAAGGGGAGAATCAGCTGAAAGAGGGACAGGTAGAACTGGGCTATGACTCTACCAATCGGATTAATGACTGTGATGACTATGTTCTGCTGGGGCTACTGGTGAATGGCATCCTGGATAAGCAGGTGTTATCTGAAGAGTCTGGGAAGAAGGTGAAATGTGTGCGATTGCTTGTAACAGCCGCTCTGCCCTCTGGATTAATAGTCAGGCACATCAACCTCTGGATTAAGTAATGTTTAAGTAACATATGGAGACTCCAGTAGAACTTCTGGGAGTATTCAGGTTGGAGGTAGAGTCTATAGAAGTAAAAAAACATTAAAATCTGGAAATTGGTCAGGTATATCTCTTTACTGGGTCTTTTCAGGGTTCTAAGTATAGAAGACACAGCATGTTGAAGGGCCAAGAGAGGGTAATATCCTTTTGGTCACCTTCATGGGTGGTTCTGGTCCTAGAGTCATGAGTGGATAGAAGGGGTTTCTTAAGACGTTCTGTTTTTTCTTTTCCTTTCTTTTCTTTCTCTCTCTCTCTCTCTTTTTTTTTTTTTTTTTTTTTTTGATTCAAAATCTCACTCTGTCACCCAGGCTGGAGTGTAATAGCATGATCATAGCTCACTGCAGCCTCTAACTTTGGACCCAAGCAATCCCCCACCTCTGCCTCCCAAGTAGCTGAGACCACAGATGCATGCCACCTGGTCCAGCTAATTTTTTATTTTTTTGTAGACATGGGGTCTCACTATATTGCCCAAACTGTCCTCAAACTCCTTGGCTCAAGTAATCCTCCTGCTTCAGCCTCTCAAAGTGCTGGGATTACAGGCATGAGCCACTGTGCCCAGCTCCTTCTCCAATGATCTATCTAAAAGGGTCTACCATCCAAATTTCTTTCCTCGGATCAATAACGCCAGGCCTTTATAAAGAACAGGAACATGTGAGTAAGACTAACTGATCTGACGTCACAAGACTCTAACAGTGCATGAGAAAAGACAAAAGTTTTTCCACCAGCCAGGAAATGGATTCGTTAAAGACAGCTTCCTGTGTGACAGGGAAAAGTCGATGGGCTAAGAACATGACTCCTTCCTCTGTGATCTCATTTTTCCATTATAAGGTATTCATTCATTTCATAAACATGTATTGAGTACCTTTTATGTGTAGGTGCAATTCCCTTCTACATAATCAGCCAAAATGCCAGAGAATTCCTTTTTAAATACCATTAAAATTACCAAAAATCATTTGCTGTGGCTTCTGCTAGCTCCTATAATCATGTCTACAGGATCATAGGTAACCTGGGTGTTTCTGATAGGAAATACTTTGGATGTTTTACTAACATCTTTATCTCAATCTGACTATGAAACCGTTATTTCCAGAAAAATCTCATCCCTGAGCTCAACTCTTGTACTGTGTCTGCAGAGGTGTCTTCACTACCTTGAAAACTATAATTCATGAAGGCAGGGAGAAAAGGAAAGGAAAGGAACACTTTAAGAGGAATACTTGGAGCTGGGTGTGGTGGCTGCTGCCTATAATCCTAGCACTTTTGGAAGTCAAGGGAGGAGGATCTCTTGAGGCCAGGAGTTCGAGATCAGTTTGGGGAAAAAAGCGAGACCTCGTTTCTACCAAAAAAAAGAAAGAAAGAAAAAAACCAGGTGTAGTGTGCACACCTGTAGTCCCTGCTAATAGGTAGGCTGAGGCAGAAGGATTGCTTGAGCCTGGGAGGTCAAGGAGCTCCCAGTGAGTTATGATTGTATCACCGCATCTCAATCTGGGTGACAGAACAAGATCCTGTCTCGAAAAATTAAATAAAATAAAAAGAGGAAACTTAGGAAGAACTCAAATAAAAAGCCAGACAGTGTCCTAACAAGTTATAATCAAAGTGGTCAGAAAGAGCTAGAAAATTTGGAACCAGGATAATGGCATGAGAACAAGAATAGGAGGTTGAGGTTTGAGGGCATCAGATGCAGGGGAATGGGGCAAACGTGTACGGCAGCCATGAGAGTGTAGGGATCAAGTCTCCACAGTGGCCAGCATGACTGGCCCCATGCTCCCCTTTTGACCTACCACAGGGTGGTGCCAAGGCTTCACCTCCCATGGGTTGTGACCAACCACAGCAGAATGGCACTAAGCCAGCCCCTTTTGGCAAGATGAAAGACATCTCTGAGAGGTGATTTTAGCCTGAAGACTCCCCGTAAGCCTATTCCAAACTTTCTTGGACCACACGGCAGTCCTGGCCTTTTCCTAGCCAATCCTCCTTTCTCGGTCACCTTCCACAGTTGTCATACCTTCACTACAGCCTGAATTATCTCCCCGCCTTTTCCTTCTCCCTTCACTAATACATCTCTTTGATGTCTAACCCCAGTTTTTGTGTCAGCTCCTTGGAAAGTGTGAACTAACACAAATTTACCAAAATTTGCGTTAGTTCTGTGATCTAAGAAAACAGATGGCAAGATGAGGGCTTGAGACTGGCTTATCACGACTTTCAGAGAGTGGTAGTAATAAAGGTTAAAATAGGCTAGTAGAGCATGGCATCGCTGTGAAAAAAAATCTACAGACACAGCCAGGCATTGTGGCTTACACTTGTAATCCCAGCACATTGGGAGGCCACGGAGGATGGATCACCTGAGGTCAGGAGTTTGAGACCAGCCTGTCCAATATGGTGAAACCCTGTCTCTACAAAAAAAAAAAAAAAAAAAATTAGCCAGGCTTAGTGATATGTGCCTGTAGTCCCAGCAACTCTGGAGACTAAGATAGGAGAATTGCTTGAACTCAGGAGGCAGAGGTTGCAGTGAGCAGAGATCGCCCACTGCATTCCAGCCTCAGCAACAGAGCGGGACTCCATCTCAAAAAAAAAAAAAAAAAAAAAAAAGAATTACAGGCAACCACTAAGGATGCTACTTAACATCTGCAGCCGAAACAAAGCAAGAATGAAGGAGCAGGAGTCTGAGGGCAGTCATCCCAATAAAAAGTCACAATCGGTCAGGCGCAGTGGCTCATGCCTATAATCCCAGCAGTTTGGGAGGCTGAGGTGGGCGGATCACAAGGTCAGGAGATCGAGACCATCCTGGCTAACACGATGAACGCTAACACGGTGAAACCCCATCTTTACTAAAAACACAAAAAATTAACCAGGCGTGGTGGCACACACCTGTAGTCCCAGCTACTCGGGAGGCTGAGGCAGGAGAATCACTTGAATCTGGGAGGTGGAGGTTGCGGTGAGCCAAGACCAGCCACTGCACTCCAGCCTGGCGACAGAGTAAGACTCAGCCTCAAAAAAAAAAAAAAAAAAAAAAGAGTCACAATCCTTGCTTAATTCCTGAACTTGAGTCAATTTTCAGATCCATACTGATTGATAGAGGAGATGGTCAGGTCCTTAGAAGGAAAGAACCCGGGACACTGAAACATGCATGTCCTGTAACGGTTCCCCCAGTCTTTACCCAAAGAGTCATCTACGTAGGCTTATGCAACTCTGGAATACTCAGACATTTTCGCAACTATTGAACACAAGGTCTGAGTTGATGTTGATGCCCAGAGATTCAAAGCTTAAGGCTTAAGGGGCCCAGGTTATAAATGGAGTCTTTGCCAAAGTCATGCTTATCATGAGACCACTGGGTCCACAGACCCATACAGTGGTCCTTTCCCAGACCCTAAGCAGGAACTGATACATTTGTCTTAAGTATAAGTTAATGCATATTGGGGCACCATATTGGATCCTTGGCCTATGGAATAAGAGCAATCATAGTGGGGAAGACTAAGCCTCTGAAACTGCCCCCATCCTTGGCCAAGAGAGTTAATCAAAAAGTATTATATCCCAGGTTAGGGAATGATGGCAGAGATTAGAGCCACCATTAAAGACCTAAAAGATACAGGGCTAGTGGTCCTTAGTGTATGTCTGTTTCATTCATTAGCCTGGCCCCTGCAAAAACCACATGGATCCTGAAAAATGACCATAGACTGCCACAAACTCGTCCAATTAAGTAGCCCTGATCACGGTTGCTGTGCCAAACATGGTGTCATTACTGAAACATATTAGTAAGCCCTTGGGTTTATGCTACACAGTCATTGATTTGGCAAATGTGTTCTTGTCTATTCTGATTATAAAAGGTCAGAAACATTTCATATTCACAGAAAATGACAATATGTATTCATATTTTTGCCCAAGAACTATGTTAACTCTCTAGGCCTCTGTCTCAATATTGAGTCCAAAGAGATTTAGACTGCCTAGACATCCCACAGAATGTCATACCAATGTATCACATTGATGACATCGTGCTTATTAGGCAGCACAAGCAAGCAGTCACTTAGACGCTAGAGGCCTTGGTAATAGGGTAGGAAATAAACCCTGCAAAGATTTAGATCGTTGCCCCACTTGACTGAAGTTTTTAGGGCTCCAAAAGTCAGGGAAATGTCAGGATAGTCTCGCCAAAGTAAAGGACAAATTGCTGCATCTTACATCCTCTACCATGAAAATGAAAGCACAGGGCCTTGTAGGCTTCCCTGGGTTCCGGAGACAATATTTTCTGTGCCTGGGAATACTGCTCCAGCTCCTTTACTAGGTAACACTGAAAGCTGCAAGCTTAGAGGAGGTCCTGGAGCAAGAAAGGGCTTTACAGCAGGTCCAGACTACAAGGAAAGAAGTCTTGCAATCTGGGCCATATGATCCAGCACACTTGGTTGTGTCAGAGAGTGATGGGGAAAGATACAAGGTAGAGTTTGTGACAAGCCGCAGTAGGGAATCACAACACAAGTCCCCTGGGATTCTGGAGTAAGACCATACCATCAACAGCAGAGAATTATAGGCTTTCTCAGAAACAGCTGTTGGTAAGCAGCTGAGCCCTGGTGGATACAAAATGCTTCAAGATGGCACTTGGTCAATGTGTCCAAAACTTCCCATTATGAGCTGAATTTTGTCATAAGGTCAGAAGTCACAGTGTCATACAGGCCCAGCAGCAGTCCATCAAAAGATGAAAATTGCACTTCTGGGGTCAAGCCTGAGCGGGGCAGGATATGAGTCAGCTGCAAGAGCAGGTAGTTTAGACTTTCATGTCAACCAGCACGGTGGCACCAGACCCTCTCCCAGCTCACACCCATGGCCATATGGAGGGACCCACATGACCAGCCGGAAGAAAGGGAAAAGGCTCAACCTTGGCGTAAATATAGGTCTGCACAATATGTAGGTAGGGTGGGATGCAGTGGCTCATGCCTGTAATCCCAGTACTTTGGAAGGCTGAGGCCAGCAGATCACTTGA